CCCCCACGGGGATGATCCCAGGGTCTGGCTGGGGTAATCCCTAGGGTAATCCCATAATACATACATATGTATGAATGTACAGAGACCCCTTGTTCTTGGGTGGATAATGTTACAATCGCTTTGCATAAGGTAGCTCGGGCTGCCCGTGTGAGCTACATCCTTTTCACAGGTTGGGGTATTTCTAGGGATTTCCAAAACCGGAAGTTACAGGAGACAAGCTAAGTCGTACTGAAATTTGTTCCATTCATCAAAACACTCTGCATGAGTACACAAGTGTAAGTTCACACTTGAAACCAGCTTACACAAAGGGTTGTCTAGGTGTAATCAAAACTAGAGATCAAGGAATTATGTAAATTAATAACTCCAACAAGCATGTGAAATGAATTCCAATTTATTCCACTAAATTGGCATACAAAGAGGAATATTGTAAAAGAGCAATATCAACTAATATAGGTGGCTTAGTTGCAAGCAAGCCATTTTGCAAGTACAACCTCTCAATCACAAGAAATGTATGCCACGCACAACTGGAAGACTGCCATGTCGTGTTGGACTTATACTTTCTGGTACATGTAAAAATACTGACCTTTAATCAATAGTGCAAAGGTATCTCTTTATGGTTAATAGCTTACTTCGCTTTAAATTTGTTCAAAGAAAACAATGCTATTCACTGGGTAAATCACAATCTAGTGGTTCTATTGGTATCAAATGGTTCAGCCCTATAGCCAAGACTTAACCACTGGATTATGACATACCCTAACACAGTAGATCAAGTGCTATCCACCCTTTGAACAAACCTGGCCTGAAGTTTTATTGAGAAACAACAAGGCCAACCAGTAAACTCTAGTAAACCTTTCGTACACCTTTATTATCACTATAAACTCTTATAAAGATGTTTGCTTGTTTTGTCATGCAATCTTTCATGTAGAAGATAGTTTGACAAATCCAACAAACTACGTGACTAACACATGATAAAAGCCACATGACTGTACGGTAAAAAATAAAATAAAATAAAAAGTAAAATTCATGTCTTACAAACATTCACAACCTTCATACAAAACTTCTCTCTAATTCTCTCTAATAATATATACTATATCTTCACTCAGAATTAATACAATTCAACTGCACTATCAAAAATACAGTTCTTACATGTAAAGCAAAATTACTTTCTTTGCCCCACAGAAAAACAAGAAATGTACTCCAGCTTAAACACATTTGCACTTTGAGTGATTTGCATAGTCACTACATTATCCCCCATAATTGCCAATAAAAATAAATATCCCCTTTGAAAATTAAATTTCATGTACATGTACATCAAATTCATTTGGTACATAATTGTAGGTTGACTGTCAAACTTCCCTGCCATAGTAACCAGAGAAGGCAGCTGAAAGTCAAGCTGTAATAAATTGACTGCTTAGATTTATGTTTTGATTTGAAAACTGATAATAATTTCAAAACAAAAGCACTAATTGTTGCTACATAGAGCGGTTTTCACTTGAGTGTTGAAAAGTAATTGGTTCTGAATCAACTACACTACATGATTGCCTTAAAAAACTCGCACCACTTTTTCATCCAATCATAAAGTAAAATCTGTAAAACCAAAACCCCTTGCAATCGTTTTCCTGTAATGTGTGTAAGCTACATGTAATTACTTTGAGTTTTGATTGGTTCGCTGTAATGTTTTTGTCCTTTGTGATTGGCTAGAGTAATTACTTTGGAATTGGTTTTGCAACACTCAATTGAAAACTGCTCTACTAGCCAGCTTATGAGTTTCATTTAAACTGCCCGCAGTGGGAGTTTGAAGACCAGCTTCCACTGTCCCATGAACTTGCCTATGTTTTAACTTAACAGTGCACTTTGTTTACATTCTTATTCAGTGGCTTATTTTCACAGGCAAACTTATTTCCTTGTCTTCATGATTCAGTAGTTTGTTTGAAACAAAACACACCCAAGTAATGAACACACACATCGATATCATTATCAAAACTATTTAAAATAAACTATGACCACATCCTAATTAATGAAAAGTACAGTTTTCAAACAATTTCTTGTTTGTCGTTAATAACTACTCTTTCAAACACAATACACATATGTTTACGTCCTAGCAACTATGCACACTGAACAAATAATGTGTTCAACGACTGTCTACATGTATTTCAAACAAAGTATGCTTCCATCTAGGATAACTGTTTCAAACAAAATTTGACCAAATCAGCACCAATACTGAAAAATTTAACCACTCCCCTGTTATATTATGGTATAGTTCACGTGAAACAATTAACTTGTAAAAGCCAATTTAAATTAATCTAAATATTATCTATGTTAGCATATAATGGAAGAAAACCCTTCCTACACCCTCTAACTTAATCAGTACCATTTCCTAGGAGATGTACATTTGTGTAAGTGTTTCCTTATCGTCTGATACATTAGCACGAAGTAACAAAAAAGTCAAAATGAAAACAATTGTCACATAACCTCCAAAAAAATGAATGTTTCGTGGGTTTTAGCAGAATCTATGGCAGAATATTGAATATTTCAATTTTGTGTTCTGGGAATATTAAATATTGATCACAGAAAAAAGAGAAATGAACATCAACAGGAATACATGTATGGCAATTGCAAAACAATA